TTGTATATGAATGTCATAGAGAAAGTAGAGCATCCCTGAAGTTGTTATTATTTAGCGTTATTGTCTATAGTTAATCAATCATCACTGTGTTTCAGGTTGCTTCGAATTTGGAAAGAGTGGAGGAGATCTTTCCTCAATGGGACTGTTTGGATGGACTGGGCGAACCAGCAGATGTCCAAAGTCCAGTGAGTATGGGATGTCTGCCATTGTGTTTTAATGTTTTCATATTTCAAGGCATTACCTTATGTTCCCTCTCCCATCCCATCATGCACCACCTCCATCCCCTTTAAAGGTGGTTTCTACAGTTTAAGGTTCTTGTAGGGCTACAGAAACACTCACAGGCCACTCACTTGTATGTCCACACTGACATTATGTTCCTCTCCAAAGGTCTTTGGTTGGCTTGGGGGAGGGAGAGCAAGTGGCAAAAGAGTCACTCCCCATTGAGACCATGCTTTTTGACAACGACCACGGATTCTTTGGAGGTTTGTTTGTATTTTTTTTAGAATTACAGAAAAGAAGAACTGCAGCCCTTCTGCAAGTACCAAATCAAGCCTTTATCATATGGGCTGTGCACAATGAACCACTAACTACATTAGCTTCTTTTAGGTGCTTACTCTTAGTGTTAATTTACCAAAAGGCAAACTAAGCTCATTGGATCGAAACCATACGTAATGAAATTGTCCTGATGCAATGGTGCTGTGGCCATTTTCCTGTCAGTTTAGATCAAACCCCTAAAGGAAGCAAGCAAATACACACACTTGCAAACAAATGAGTGAGTTTTTTTTTTTAAAACAGTGAATAGTCTGTGGGTTGATTTTGACTGCAGCACACTGGATTCTCTTGTTTTTCTTCCTCCCTGCAGCCTCGAAGACAGCGCGCAGCCCTCGTCCTCCGTACGTGTTTCTGCGGGTTGGAGAGGTGGTGATGGAGAGGAAGGGCCACATGGTTGGCGTGGTGGTGAGCTGGGACCCCGAGATGCGAGCACCTCCAGAGTGGGTCGACAGAGTGTATTCCAACTTTGAGGTAAAGCAACAACTCTTAAAAAAACCAAAACTCTAGCCGTGGGTTGAAAAGTTAAACATCAGTGGCGTCTGTGACTGTGTATGTGCATGCAGGGCACCAAAGCAGAGAATACGCCCCATTATAAAGTGCTGTTCAGCGGGCCTGGACCCTCCTCGGTGTTAGTCGGATACTTGCCCCAGACACAACTGGAGCGCATCACCGGGATGAGGGTATGTACTGAAAATCACAGCACATAAACACACACACACGACAGATTTTGGACTGACTGTTGGATGTCTCTAGCCGGACATTGCTACCTTGGAGAATTACTTCACGCATTTTGACGGGGAGCGGTTCGTCATGCAGCCCTGGCTCAGAGAGATCTTCCCCGAGGATGCCATGGATGAAGCCACCTGACTGCTGAGCTGCGACGTGTTTTCTATAGAAGTACTGACCTGGTAGTCCATTGTAAAATTGAAGATTTAAACAGATTGAGGATAATTTTCAGATCCCTCCTTGCTGGATCTCAATGCGAGGGTGTCTTTTGCAGATGTGGAGTAACACAGGGACTCACTTAAAAGTGATTTAGCTCTGTTGTGCATCTTGTATTTCTTTAAGATTTACAAGTATACAGTATTTTAATTTCATGTGCCAAAAAATAGATAGAGAAAACAGATTTTTAAAAATGTAATTTAATGCCTGCCTGATTTTTAAAGACAGATTTGAGGCTGGAGTTCAGTTAGATGCAGAAAATGCTTGAAATCTGTCATTTTCCCATGTAGTTTTTGTGTTGGCTGAGGAAGAAAAAAAACCTTGAAAAACTGCACTTTTATTCAGCCTTTACAACTAAGCAATAAAAATCCTTCAAACTGTGACAACCTGCTCTTTGGTTTCATGAGTCCGTGACAAATGTCCTCAGAGTTTTTTCCTGCTTCTGTCTCTGAGGCTGAAGGACACGGACACCCGTGAGGAGGCAGTGATTGTGGGGGTGCAGGGAAGGTGAGGAAGGGATGCGACACCCTGGCTTCTGCCTCCACCCTCCTCATCGTCATTCCTCCACTCCCTTGTCTCCTCCTCTCTGACCAGCAGCGGGGGTCCCAGAGTTTGCCCCAGGAGCTGACTGACTTCGCAGGCCTTCTGCTGGGCATTTTCAACTGCCGAGACGCACGCACGCCGCCTGGAGCACGGACAAACACACGCTAGTTACATTCATCAGAAGAATAAGTCTGTCCAGATATTACAGTGCTGTTGAGAAGGGTGTTTTATACCTCATTTGACTCAGGCATTCATCACTGTGGTAGAACTGCGGTGCTCCCACACAAACACTCTTGTCCAGCTTCTCCAGCAGGATGCTACACACTCGCTCCATCTTCTCAAAGTCTGAGAAAGTGACCACGACCTGTGAGGACGACAGTCATGTACACACACACACACACACACGTACACACGTATGCTGTGGGGTCAGGGAAGGGTTGAGATAAGATGTACCTTTATAGCATCACACACATTTGAATCCTTAGTGTTGGTCCGAATACTCCACCTCTGCATCCATGCGATACTGGTCTGCCTCTCGGTGGAGAAACCTCCTCACGGAGGCGTCTGTCTCACTGACACCATGTTGTCTAACCAGAATGAAACAAACATTACATTCATTGCCATCAGGTTGTGCTTTGAGACTTAGAGAACATGGTGAAATATAGCATACAATCCAATTCCCTTATGAACAGATACAAATGTTTAACTGATGGTTCATTGCCATGGTTACATTATTATAGTACTTGTGACAACTATTACTCCTACTACTAGTATTAAATTAAAGGCATGTTAATGCTTCAGGTGAAACCATTCATTACTGTGGTGGAGAGGAGCTCATCATCTCCTCTGGTACTGTAACGTTACTGACGTACAGTTTGTATGTGTATTTATTTAGTTTTTAATCTTATGCTCCTTCATACTGACATTCCACCACATTATGGAGGGACATCTCGACTCTACTGCATTTTACTGAGATGCTACACCTTTATCCATCAGTAACTATCCCTTTAACACTAGTCCTTTAACACTAGTCCTAGTGACTGAGTACCTTTAACATTGTTTTATTAAGTACGTTTTAGTGCTAACACTTCTGCTGCTACTCTGCTCACGCTAAAGTAGGAAGGCAGGACTTTCCAAAAAGTATCTCCACAGCAGTGAGAGTACAAGCCAACTGGATATAACTTACTTTACTACAACTTAAACAACTTTTACAGTAGCTAATAGTCCTACTTCTCATCCTTTGATATCACCGTAGGTTTCCTCCGGTACAGCACTGCCGTTAGCTAGTTTAACTTTAGCTAATAGTTTACAGTTAGTGTTTAAAACAGTTTTAAAGTTATACAGTTGAATATATCTGTGTATTTTGTTCACCTGACAGTTTGTAAAATGTATTCAAGTCGCCGTGAAACGCTGTTGGTCACCTCGTTGACTGAGTCTTTGCTGTTGCACATTCCGACCCGGACCGACACTCGGTCCGCCGGGCAGCAGACCTCCGCTGCTCCCGACACCTGGAGCTCCCTGGCCCGGTTACTGGCCCGGTTACTGGGACGGCTCACTGCTCGCACATCGACCTCCTGCTCGTTCTCATTACCGGCTAACTCCCGACCAGCAGCCGGTAAAACCGCAGCGAAGACTCGACTGTAGCTGTCCATGATGGCGGACACAAACCAACTTCCCGCTGCTATGGCAATAGGCGAAATGCTCGTCGGGATCTGTAGGCTACTTCCTGTCCAAGAACTACAAACACCGCTCACATATCGTGCCTTTCTAGATGAGAAACGGAGGTTGTAAGAGGATTGTGAGAATCAGTGTGGCGGTGAAATGAAGAGCCTTGCAGCCAGCGGCGGATTTAGGGGCCTCAGGCAAACCCAGGTACGGGTCCCCGAGTTATGGGGTGTTATTCAAAGTCCAGTCCGTGCTCCACACGGTGCTCTTCATCACAACTGTGACTTGTGCTCCCACTGGCCCCATGAATCAGGACGTAAATAGCCCAAATGATGTAAGAAGGTTAAAAACAGATGTTTGCCAAACTTTTGCACTTGGAAGATGGCCCCTTTTTATTTTTTGTAATAATATTGTGTTTCTATGATTTGTGTTACTTTAGAAACCAGTTCAGACTACACCTGACTGCTGTTACATTCACTTACCCTGCAGCCATCCTGCTGCTAGGACTTCTGTCTAAAGGCTGATCTGTATGTATGGCATATATGGTAAATATGGTACACTTGAAGGATAAACATTTGGTTTTCTGCCTTAGTATGCTGACATACCTTCACCTCAACCTCACTTTAATAATAATAACAATAATACTACATTTTATTTATAGGGCGCTTTTCTAGAAACACCGGTCCTTTAAAATATCCCTAAAACAACACAACAATTGTCTCTATGGAGAGACAGACAGCAGGTCCAGTAGACAGACAGGCTGTATGTTGTCTGAACATGGTGCATTCATGCAGACACTGGTTTTCACTTCCTGTAAATCTTACCCAGGTTTCCTAACGTAGTGAGGACAGGTGCAGCAGAGGGTGTGCAATCTGGAGTCTTGGTGCCATGAGTGTGTCACGGTCCTCCGCCCGCCTGCTCAGAGCAGGTCGACAGCTTCATTTGGTAAAAACGCAGTCAAACCCCAAACTTGTGGTTTTATGTCCTTCCCTTTCTTTCTTTATGACGCCTGCAATAAAAGAACAGTTCATATACTGTATACACCAGCACTTATTCTTTGTCTCTTCCTATAATAGCTACACATTTTGCACCATAACGACTGCCTCTGATACTGAGAGGCAATAAAACACAAAGAACAAAGTATATTTTATTTATTTATTTATTTTGATATTATATTATATACATATATATAAATTAGGACAGACACTGGTCTGAGTAAAAACATACAAACATTAACAAACACATCAGATAAGAAATATAAAAAGTATTTTTAGCGATTGGGCCCGATTGTGGCGATGTCATATTGGAAAAGGGGGGATGGTAATTAAAGGAGGGAGTGGCTGAAGACTGATGTGATGAGGAGTTACTCTGATGAAGGGGAGGTGAATGGGGTGGAGGATAATCTGTGAACAGGGAGGAGAACAGATTTAAAATACGACAAGAAAGTGTGATTGGCTGATGGAGAGAGAGAGAGAGAGAATTGTGGATGAAGGGATGAACAAAAGCAGGTCTTCCTGATTGAACTTACTCTGAGCTTCATTCTTTCTCTTTCCAGTTCTTCCCAGAGAGCAAGCCGAGCGCTGGTACAATACAGAACCGTCTCTACAGCGTGACAGTAATAGTTCTGTCTGAAGCTCCAGTCTTGGTTTCGATGCTGACGAGACGAGGCGGATTCGTCCTGCTGTCCAGCGACTGTGGGGCGACGGAGGCAAGGAAAAACTCCCTCTGATTGGAAGAAACCTTGGGAGGAACCGAGGCTCTCTGGGGGAGCCCATCCTCCTGTGGGCTGTGGGACGTCCTGCTGCTCCTGGCCACGGCGCCTCTGACGTCCATCCTTCAGTGGTCGGCGGGGTCATCGGTCGTCTGCTTCCATGGTCACCACATGCAGAGTCAAACAGAGACACACTTACCTTACTTCCTCCCGCGGCGTTTCCTCTGGACTGGATGACGGCGCTCGGGTCCCTTCCTCTGGCATCAGGTCTTCCGGACCGTCCCACCTTCTACACCTGAGAATACAGACAAAACACTCGGTAAATACACTGATGTTGTGTTTCAAACTATGTGCCCTCTTCTGGAGCTCAGCGCAGGATGTGACCAGTGTTGTCTTCTTACCTGTCTCTTGTAGAACAGGATGTAGGCCGACTCCTGCCGCTGCTCACACACAGACTCGCCGGTTGTTTCATTTACCCATGAGTCGTTAAAGGTAAGCCAGCGGTCCGTTGGCTCATCTGGACAGTCGTCCGGATGGACGCTGTCACAGATGTAGTGTCCTAACAGGAGAGAGACGGTTGTTAATGCTTTAAAGTGCAGAGGTTATGCAGGTTAACTTACTTTATTGTGATTTAATGTCAATCAAAACCATGAAAGAAAAAACGGATCTAATCCGTCCCAGTACATCATTTCAAAAGAAAGGCTTAAAGTTCCTGTTCAGTTCAAATAAGGAGACTTATTGTAAGTAGTAATGTTCAGCAGTGTCTGTCTCTAACGTGTCTGAGCTCATGATAGAGGCCTACAGAAGTGTGTCATCATCTTACCTGCTTCTCCCGTGGAGCCGAAATGGCTGATAGCGCTCACCAAACTGTAACAGCCGGCGTCCTGACAATGAACACGGAGAATGGGAGTTAGCTTCACACACACACACACACACACACACACGCGTTTACTTTCACATCAGCCTGGTGCTTCTGTTTGTTCTCAGGTGAGTTGAGTTTGTCTTTACCTGGTTGGAGGACACCACCATGTCCCTCAGCAGCCCGACGGGGTCGTGCACCTTCACCTGCTGAAATGCAGGCGTGAAGCGGAAGCGCTTCAGGTGCAAGACGAGCACTCTGTAGACGTTAGGGAGAGAGGTTAGCAATATGATCACTGCGTTATCTGTTTTCTGTCTGTCAGAGTATTGTGAATTAAAGTGGAGGCCAGTTTGGGAACCACTCAGCTCAGGTGTTCATTTAAGACCGATGTGATGTCACTCACCTTGGCAGGGTCACGAAGGCAGACCTCTGGCCCGATGTGTTGCCTCCACACTCGCACCTGAACTCCAACTCTGTCTCCTCCACGTAGTCCTGGAGCATGTCTTCCACAGATCCTCCAGGAACCAGATCCAGAGACAGGTTGGAGAACTCCTCCTGTCTCGTTGACTGGAGCCCGCACCTGCACATTAAAGGATCAGTACACATCAAAATACAGTCACAGAGGTCAGGACAGGTTGTTAGGGGGACAAAGTGGGGCACAGAATCACATTGTGGGGGGCCCAGCTGAGACATGTCTATGTATGTGTGATGATTTCCTACAGGGCTTTACCTCTTGCATGTCCTGGTGTGCTCCATCCTGAACACCAGGTGGTCGTCCACAGGGCAGGTGTACCTCCTGCCCGTGCTGGCTGCAACGACCTGCAGGTGAGGGGACAGACTCCTTATCTGGTCCAGGACTGAGGTCAGGAACTCGTGAGCATCCTGAACTCACAGAAACACACAGTGGGGTTTATACACAGAAAACAAACTAAACTAAACTACTAACTAAAAATAATCAGGAGGATTTCAATTTATGGAACTTAAAGCAGCTGACTTACCTTTTGCAGGTTTCCGAGTTCGCCAAACTCAGGAGCCTGGACCGAAAGCGCCTTCATAAATCCACGAAGGAGGCGGCCTTTCCTTTCGGAGTCTGTGGAGGTGTGGACGTCTCTGATCGCCATTAATCTTCTACACAGGGTGAAAGAATTAGATCTGTTATTACATTTTGTTCCTTAGATTTGTGGAGGAACTTGAGAGTGACAAGTGTGTGTGTGTGTGTGTGTGTGGTAGGGGGTGTTACTGGACCTGATCAGCTGGGCCTTAGGCACTGAAGTCCAGACCTGCTCCTGGCTGCTGAGGTCCCTTATAAAGTCCTCCAGGGTAAGGAGGCTCTGCAGGCAGGAGCTTAGGTAGCAGGTCTGCCCGATGTTTGGAAACCTGACACACAAACACAACCAGTCAAACAAACGTCAACATCGTCAGCTCTTCACTGACCAATCACAGACTGGAGCTCATGGATTCACATGTTGTTAGGACTTTTGCAGCTGTACTTACCCGAAGCGGTCGGTCGTGGTGGTGGTGCTCCGCTTTACAGCATCCCCACGACCAGCACCACTCCTTGTGGTTCTACAGAGAGAAAATAAAAACACAAACACGCCGTCAATGAACGTGACAAGAAGCTTAAAAAGTAGTTCAGAAAAGTCAATTAAACCAGCAGGGATAAAAATAAGGAAGGTGGACAAAATAACAGAAACACCTTATGGGTACTGGCAGCCAAGCTCTTTGTGCCTTTCACATATTATCTTTACATTGAAGTCACACAGCTGATGAAATAAATGCTGCTGAGAATGTAATATATTGATTTGGAGTGTATCATCAGTAAATGTGGAGCTAGTGTTTAGCTGACCTGCTCACTTGTTCCCGGATCAGCGCCTCTATTACAGTCTGCTCCAGGATGGTGTCGGGGTTCAGCAGCTCTGCCAACAATGAAGTGTCAGCCATTGTGTCTCCTTGCCCGCCGAAGAGTGCGACTGGCTCCTCACATTGCACCACGTCGGCCTCCTGAGGAACCGCGTTTGATTGGGTTTCCACAGGGCCCTGAGGTTCCTCCTCCTCTGGAGACGGAGCCACCCGATGTCTTCTCTGATGGAGGAAAAACCAACTCTCATGGTTCAATAAAGCAAAGACAGACTAGTAAAGTGCATTGGTTTTGTACACTGCTCTCATTTAGCCCGGACTGGTGACTGTCTGGTTAATGTTGACTTCTGGCTCTTTCTGTGGAACGTACCTTGCAGCATCTCAGCAGCCGATGCCACCAGTGGCTCTTCTGGACCTTCGAGCTCAACTCGACCGCTGCGGTGCTGTCAGAAGTGCTGAACAGAAACATGTTTAGATTCATTTACCTCATAGCCAGAAAAAAATGAAAATAATTGTACGTTCCTATGTCATTAACATTAGCAGGTTAGGAACCAGTGCGCTAAGGGTCATTTACTAAGTGTCTTACCTTTCTTTGCTCCTGTCATCCTCCTTCTTCTGTACAGTAAAAAAAACAGTATCAATAAATATGAATGTTACAGTCGAATAAAATGAAGTGAACATGAAGCTCTGACACGTTCTGTCAAACATACCTCACAATGACAGAAGAGGCATTTCCACCATGGCGCCCTCTTGGTCCTTTCAGAGGCGGCAGCAGCAGCACTGTTGGTACACAGAAACAAGATTTTATTGCATTGTGGAATCATCTTTAGCCAGAAATCAATCATTAGTTTAGCTAATGAAACTGTAAATAAATAAAAAGTGTTAGGACAACAGTAAAAGAACAGTTATACATTACTTACCTATGAGAGCCGAGGAGCTGCTCGCTCTCAGCTGCCACAACATCCTCTGCAGGTGTTTGTTGTTTCTGGTCAGAATAAAGACAAATGAGTTGAATATTGTGAGAAAAATAATGTCTTCATAGCTGATATAATAATAGTTGACAGAAAGTATCTACGAGACATCGGACTGGATGAAAGTCTAAACAACAGCAACTTTTTCAGTTCACAAGGTCACATCAACAGTACAGAAGCTACAGAAAAGTGTATAGATCATCTAAGAAACAAACCTTCTGTCCAAAAAAACGCAGTCCAAACATTTTGGTTGCTGTTTTGATCGCTCTGTAAACACAAGTTAACCTAAAATGTCCTTTAGACTACTGTTGTCTGTCTGAGGTTGATACACTGGTATTAGTAACACCTTCTGCACTCTAGAATCAGTTCTAGAATTCACTCAACTGCTGTGATGTCAGAAACTACATTCTGTCCTCATTTGCATATTGTGTTCTTTTATATGTGTATGAATATATACTGTATACAAACATATAAGTACTGTGTGTACTATGTATACGTGTATGGACTGTATACTGTGTGCCCCAACTAGCTAGCTAGCAGCATTTACATGCTTTACTAAATATTACTGATATCGCCACAAATAAACTCCTGTTTATTTATAAGTTAAACTGCATTCAACATCTTATTTTAAGAAATCATTGTGTCATAAACAGTTTTATTTTGTTAATGTTTTATTCAGAGTCATATGAGAACATGATATCAGTTTAATGTCTGCGTCCAGTTCAAGATGTGTAGCCTAGCTTCCCTCAGACCCAGCGCTAGAAGCAGGTGGAAACTGCTAGCTTAGCTCCACAACAGTAAAAAAGAAGATCTTGAAGCTGTCTCCATGTTTCTTGCTTATTCAACATGTAAAAGTAGAAAATGAGACACTATTGTGGAGCTGCTTTAGCTCTTGAGCAACAATGCCTAGACTAGCTTTTCATGTAGCTAGGCTAACAGTTTCCCTCTGCTTGCAGTCTTTGTGCGGAACAAAAGACGAGAGAAGAAAACACAACTTTAAAAACCCTGAAAACTGAACATTAAATATGTCTAAATAAGCAACAATCTCAGTTAAAGGTATTTATTCAGAGTTTAATACTCAAAAAGCTCATTTGATTTAATTTGTCCAGTCTGTGGTCGACGTGAGCTCCAAGGTATTTATATCTCTCCAACACCTCTTGTGGTCCTCTTACCACTGAAACCATCACACCATCCTTCCTCGGTCTTGGGTGGACTTTAACAAAAGGCATTTAAGTTAAGATTTAAAGAAAAGATAAACGCTTTGAGTGTAAATATTGGGAGTTTTTCTTGGTATTAAAAACAGATCAACCATAACCAGGGGCTGTCAGTGCCTAAATCTAACCATGAAAAAGCTTAATAATGCTTTATATTTGGTACAAAATGTGCTATTGTGCTGTACCTGACCACTGTTGTGTAACTTCACACGTGACACACAAGTTGTAGCATTTGTAGTTAGTTGGCTGATCCTGATTATTGTTGCTTTGACAAAACAGATCATAACAAACAACCTTGGTTCAAATGTATGTCATCAGATTCCTCCAGATGTGGACACATACATTGTGGACTTAGGGTTAAGGTTGATTTAAAGGACTCATTGAGGATGGCAGAACATGTTAAAGCTGACACACCTAGCTGCGACACTTTGAAGAGAGCTGGAGTCCAGTTGGATGTTTTTGTGACAACCGACAGGAGTATGTACAGGAAGACAGACTGTCTGTGATGCTGCTGCTGCAGATGAGGACACATCTGGAAACAGATAAAGACATACAAGAGGGAGAATGACTACCAACAATATCTCACTGATGTTTATTTAGCAAAAGTATTGTGGGATTTTAATATAATTTATAATGAAAAATAATAATGTTAAATCGAAGGTTGATTATATGAGAACTGAATTGGTGATAGACATTATCTGACTGACAGATCAACAGAAAAATAATTGTCAACTGTTTTGATAATTGATTAATTGACACAGAGAATTGATGTTCTCAGTCTAATAGTCTTTGGACTTGAAAGATGTCACTTCTGAGATATTTAGTGTGAATAACTGCATTTACAATAATAATTATATAATAATAATATTTGAATTTAAAATTGAATTTGCTTCTGTTGTTGTATATACTGTCTATATTGTGATGTTTTAACTCTATCTAACATTGTTTTCTTGCACTAGCTGAACTAGATGTATTGACTTGCCTCCTCCATTAGAAAATATAATAAACTGACGGATAGATAAACAGAAAAAGAATCGACCATATTGATAATGAATGATTAATCTTTTCTGTCATTGTTCAAGATCAAGTGCTTGTGGATGCATTATTCTGTTTTGTTTAAAATATGATAAATATGTTACATTTGAAGGATAAACATGACGTTATACCTGGTTCTCTTCTTCATTCAGCAGCTTAAAGGAGCTGCAGAACATAACTAATATAACATCAATCCTAAATTATATGAGTTTCTCAATGGATCACAAAATGATATTATCAACTGCATTTACCAACATGCTTGCACACATTTAAATGCTAAATATTGAATTTAAGATCTTATGGAATAAAAATCTTTATATGAAAAATGTATAATTTCTTGTTCATTAGCTGTCACCTTGTTGAGGACTACTTTACTCTTCCGGGTTACATTAAAACAATTCAGTACCACACTCATATACATATAAATACATTATTATTTTATTATATTATTATCGTGTCAATACTGTTTAATTTCCCACACCCATCTTACAGATTGAGGCTGAAACTGTTTATTGTCACATCGTGTTCATTGTGTTAAAACAACACTGGAGCCTGGCATGTCAGTGTAACTACCTGTTAATGTTAGTTAACTCACCTGTTTCCAACCTGAACGGACTTCCTAACACATCCAAGTACAAATGGACAACAAGTTGACCGCAGCCAGCACCTTGTTTCTCTCGTAAGGGCCTTTTCCCAGTTTGTACTTCCCACGTAGGGAATATGTGTTTTTTCCGCTACTTCAAAGGTTGAATTAATAATGAATGAGTGATGTCAGGCTACATATTGTGACTTAACAATACCTAACATTAGCTATAGCTATGGCTAAAGTTTGTATTCTGTCAAATGCACAACATTTATCCCCTACACACACACACACACAGAGTTTCATATATTTTAATAGCTGTTTAACCACAAACTAACCTAAGTCTGTCTGTACAGCCACTTTAAAGCGACCTGTTAATATCTGGTCAACCCTTTGGTCATTTTTAGGTTAGCAAATTAATTAAGGCTAATTATCTAGCGTCACAAAGTCTTACAAAGCAGGTTACAAATGAGACTGACGATATCAAATAAAATGTGTGAGTTATTGGCAGTTAAAGTGATAAAGTATGGTAAAACCTTTGCAATGTTGGATGAAATTGGGTCACAGGATTTAAAGCTAGCGTTACACTTGGTGGTAATGTGACTCTGACATGGCGTCTTTCTCTTTCTAAACCACTCACCTTATTGAAAAGTATCTTGAATACCAAAAACATGCCCCGGTGATATCTTAATGAATCTGTTATTTAATGGTGAGCTAGCTGTTTACTGTCAAATGTTTATCCCTCTAATGCAGTTTATTAACTTTTAAGCTGCTAATACTCAGCTAGCTGAAAGTATTTCACCATTAGCAGTTAGCTGACTCACTGGTGAAATGAACCTGAACAAACTTTAATAAGTGGATAAATATTTGAGCAGAAACTCTCCGTTATTCTCTTGTATCAGCCTAAAGACACCTCATAACTTCAGGTGACATTGCAAAGCCTAGCATTATGTTAGCATTAGTTATAGGTAGTTTGCAGATATAAAGATATGAGTTTATAGAATATGATGCATGTACTGTAATAGGGATTATACAACACAACAATATACAAACTTGTTAAAACTAAAATGATATTTTCTCATTAATGCTGTAATTATAATCCAAATATTAAATATATAATAGTATTACACTCATCGGGTTCTTGCATTATAAGTACTTTATATACTTTATATTGCAATATTTATATACTATACATTTTGTTATAATATAAACATCTTTCATATACCTAGTAGTGTGCATATTATCTCTCCCTCCCGTTTCCTCTCTCACTCTAACATGCTTGTTTCCCCTCTTTTTACCCCTTCCTCTATAGACCACCTTCTAACCCTCCAGCCTCTAACTTAATAAAGACTGGTTTGGAGGGACAGGTGGAGGAGGTGGCGCTCGCTATACCAGACCAAGGTTAGTTATTGTATGTGTATGGTTTTTAATGCAGCACTTTGTTTGTGGTCAAAGTTGTAGTTTGAATTAATATCTGTGTGCATAACTGTGTACGGGCATGTGTATGAAGTTTAAATTCATCTTGGATGTGCCTCTAGTTCAAAGCACTTGCTGGTTTTCCCCTGTCTATGTGTCTGGAGCTTTTTGGTACCAAGCTGAGTGTGGAATAATTGAGGTTGCATTAATTAAAGGTGGGGTAAGTCATCCTAGGTAATGTGATTCTAATCCACACTTTTTGTCAAATTTGGCGAATAAATTAAATTGAAACATTAAATGACTTGCCTGCGCACATTCAGCTTGCTTCCTAGTTTGCCAAGAGGTGCTGTTGTTGTGATGTTAGCTATAGTAGCAGGAGATTTGTGAGTATCTGTGTCTGGAGCTGGTGTGCTGGCTCTGGGAGACAATCTCGTCCTCTCTGCAGCAGCAAATGTAGCTACAGTTTGCAAACCCACAACATACCTAACTTTAGTTACATTACTTGCTGTGTCATTCATACTATATCATGTTATTGAATTCCTCCAGAATTGCAACACAAAACACAGAAACACACATATTAATTTTAATTGAAAATAGCCCCATTGGTCTATTTTCACTTATTAATTGTGTCTTGTCATTTTAGACACTGTAGCAGGGTGCACAATTGCAATTCCTTACTGGTGAGACTAAGTGACAGTTTTTTGCAGTGCCACAAGCAGCAGTATAGTTGACTCACTAACGAGGGGTCACTTAACCGAGTCCCCTGTCTTCCAGGTTCAGGCCTGGATCCCATTCCAGAGAAAACTGAAGAGGATTGTTAGAAGCAAACTCTTCGACAGAGTGATTATGTTTCTGTTTTGCTCAGTGTTCTCATCATGGCCTTACAGCACCATGAGCAGGTAAGCAACAAAGTATTTCAGTGTATTTTCCATACATTTCAGGTGTGTAAGGTGAATGATGATCAGCAGCTGAAAGCTTCAGAGCTAAAGTGGGGCAGGCTAACCGTATTCTCTGCTGTCTTCCTGGTAGAGATGCTTTTCAAGGTAAACATCAATTTTATCTTTTAACCGTAGTGGTTAAGGTATTGTGAAATTATATTAATGTTAACTGAAATATGAATCAATCATTTTCTACCTTTAAGTCAATTTTGTAGCTCAGATTTTGTTTGAAAGAATCCATAATATTTTAAGTTGTATTGATGTATTGTTGCTTTAACACCAGGTCCTAGCTCTTGGTGTGCTGTTTGGGAAGGAGAGCTACTGCCGGTCTGCTTGGAACGTCATGGATGGTTCACTAGTGATTCTGTCTTTGGTCCACATCTT